AAACAGTCCAGTGGAGCCTGAGCAGTGGGTGTTGCCTTCTGACACACTTCCGGTGATGTCAGGGGGTGTGGCCTATGCAAATAAGGTATGCTAATGAGTTATGCCAATGAGCTCCTGCACCTCTTTTTCTACGAAATGACCCCTGCATTTACTTATCAGGCAACCTGGATGACAGTTTGGGCGACTTGGTCTGATGAGGACAGAGGCATTTCGTGATTAAGTCACGGAAAAGGATGGACCCGGTCCAAAATACATGAAACCAATGCTCCCTCTTATCTCTGGAGTCTTGTGAGCAAAAATTCTGCTTTGTGAACTACTGGCATTAAAGTTGCGAGCGAGCGATTGGGCTACTGCAGAAATCAGTTTGCTCTGGAGCCATCCCTTCCTGAGCTGAGACAAAAATGTGTGAGCCGGAGGCTAAAAAACTGTGAGCCAGCTCACACTAACTCAGCTTAGAGGGAACACTGCATGAAAGTGACTCGTCTTTAAAGAAAAGCAAAAGTAAATTCTCACTTTATTCTGGGCTACACCTGCATGGCATCATTAATTCATACACTGTCAATATGGAATTTGGACTATGTCTCTATGGATGGATTGTATAGCAATTTGGAAATGTCTGGGGGGGGGGAATGGGACGATAGGGTTGCCAACCTCCAGGTAGCACCTGGAGATCTCCTGCTATTACGACGGATCTCCAGGCAACCAAGATCAGTTCCCATGGAGAAAATGGCCACTCTGGAAGGTGGACTCTATGGCATTGGACCCCACTGACCCTCCCCAAACCCCACCCTCCCCAGGATCCACCCCCCAAATCTCCAGGAATTGCCCATCCAGAGCTGGCAATCCTATGGGATGAGCACACTGGACATCCAAACAGGGAGTTAACAGTGCAATCCCAAAAAGAAGAAGAAGAGGAGGAGGAGGAGGAGGAGATTGGATTTATACCCCACCTTTCACTACCCAAAGGAGTCTCAGAGCAGCTTACAATCCCTTTCCTTTCTCCTCCCCTACCCTGTGAGGTAGGTGGGGCTGAGAGAGCTCTTTGGAGAGCTGCTAGTGAGAGAACAGCTCTGAAATAGCTTCTGACTGAGGACCCAAGAGTCACACCAGCATGTGGAGGAGCGGGAAATCAAGCCCGGTTCTCCCAGATTAGATTCCAATCCACACTCCTACCAGGGCTCTTTTTGTAGAAAAAGCCCAGCAGGAACTCATTAGTATAATAGGCCACACCCAGCAGCAGAAACTCATTAGCATATTAGGCCACACCCCTGACAGCACAGCTCATTAGCACATTAGGCCGCACCCCCATGTTACCAGAAGTGTGGTCATCCAGCCACACCCACCTTTTGCTTCTTATTCTGTTTACCTTGTTTGTTGTCAAGACCCAGGGCTTTTTTTGTTGCAGGAACTCCTTTGCATGTTAGGCCACACACCCCTAATGTAGCCAATCCTAATGAGTTTCTGCTGTTGGGTGTGGCCTGTTATACTAATGAGTTCCTGCTGGGCGTGGCCAACTCGGGAGCCAGCTGGAATTCCGTTCCTGTGCGTTCCTGCTCAAAAATAGCCCTGCTCCTAACCACTCCACCAAATTGGCTCTAACAAGATCCACTTTCTCTTCCTGTTCTTTAGGCTTGAGCAGAGTGAGAGAAGGCACAGGCTGAGAACTCAGTAAAAAAGTGATTCGAATAAAGTCCTAAGTTTGCTTGAGGACAGAGAGTCTTTCTGTAAAGACAGAATACTTTGAACGGTAACCCCCCCCTCCCTCCAAACCTCCTCAAGCTGCCGCCGCTCAGCTCTTACGTGAACTCAGTAAAAAAGTGATTTGAATAAAGTCCTAAATTTGCTTGAGGACAGAGAGTCTTTCTGTAGAGACAGAATACTTTGAATGGTAACCCCCCCCCTCCCTCCAAACCTCAAGCTGCCGCCGCTCAGCTCTTACGTTGTCTCTTTAAAGAGGCAGGCATCCCAAGTAAATGCTGGGTAGGTCCGGGAGTCTCCCAGCCCCTGGACAGCCCGGGAGTCCCACTTACATCAATTGTTTTAATGATGACAATCTGATCCACTTCCTTGCAAGCCTTCTCCGCTTTCTTGGCGGTGTCGTTGTTCCAGTCGACCAAGTTAATGGCCATCATCCCTTCCATCGCACTGAGAAATGAAGGGGGAGATGAATTACCAGGGGTGCAGAAACAGCCACCAGGGAAAGTGAAAAGCAGGCAGACGGACAAGTGATTTCAACTAACGTACTTTTATTAGTGAGGAACAAGACAACTTTAGCCGGCTCACAGGCCAGCTTATATTCCCCGTGAAACCACCCCCCAGAACACCCCCCCCACAATAGGTTATTTACAGTGGCCGAGAGTTCCATAGGCTCTCGGCCGGGAACCTAGCCCTCCAATAGGTGCGGGCTAGGATCCGCTTAGCTCATTGTCTCTTCGAGCGAAGGTTGACGTTTGCTCTTGACTGCGTGGAGCCTAAGCTGGCCACGCGGTCATAGCTGGATACATTACAGAAAGCATCAAAAGAGGAATCAGGTGAGACTAATAAGGCTGATTCTGTACCCATCTGTTTCCTCGCAGTTTTCCCCCAGCCTCGTTGAATGGTTAGTCTCCCTCTACACTGCATGCCGCTTTCACTTTCTTTGTTCATTGGGTTTTATGGTACCTTCTGCATAGAGGATGAGCCGCAGGTCTTAAGGACTGGATTTACTTGCTTCATGGACGTTTAGAATTTGTGTTTTTTCAGTCCATTGGAATTGTGAAGTCTTTTCTGGGATTGTAAAGTTTTCTTTAACTCCTTAGCCTATCTGTGTATCAATCGTATTTTATGTATTGAATAACTAACAGTATACTTCATAATATAAATAATAAGAATACTCTATGAGTTGGAACACTTTGGAGCTTCATTTGATGTTATGTCATATATGGTCTATACTAATTCATCAATTTCCTTAAATTGTTGTGAGTTACCAATGATCCGAGGCAATGCAATGAAAAGAGGTATTCTGAGGAAAAGGGGAACCAAGTTGAGTGCTGATCAAATGTGGAGAGACTGGCCAGATGCAGAATGGTCCTAACTCTGGGCAGAGACAGATGTGCCTTCTAAGGATCAGTCCCATTTGTTTGCTAGCTTCGCTTCCAAGATCTGACAAGACTGAGCCAGCCTGGGCCAGCTGGGCCAAAGCTTTGGGATGGCTACGTAAATGTCTCATTCCTTGCAATAAAAACAGGCACTTGCAAGGTGAGAGAAGCATAGATCATCATGGCCAAGTCAGCTATGCCAAGGCGGGAAAATAACTTTCATATTAGGCAAAAAAGAAAGAGGAATAATCATAGCAACAGTGCTTGCTTCTATAATGTCAAGCCTGGAGTACCCCCGTATTTTTTTAACTGGTCCACCACTGGCAGGTGCGTTCCATTCCAAAATGGTCGATTAGTCTCATCTAGAACATTTGACTTCCCCAACTGTATCACCTCTAGCTTGCTGGATTCTGCTTTCGCCTATTCTCCCTCATCCACTTGACTGTCATCTAGGCTTTGATTCGCACAGCAGATGGGCTCAAGGTCAAGTAGCTCTTTGGTTCCCAAGATAACAGGGGGACCTATTGTCCACCTGTTACAGAGGACATAGATTGGCTCTGGAGTCCCCACCCTCTGTGAGTTGCAAATTCTCCTCAGTTCCCGCATGTGAAGTGACAGATTCAGATCAGAACCATGGTACACTTTCAGCCTTGCATCACCCCTCCACATCATTTTCCTAACCTGCAACAGTCTCAGGGGTGTGCTATTTGGCCTACTGGAAAAGCTCATGTTATCCCAGGAGCAATTGGCTTTCCTTACATAGTACCCCCTGGGACTGTTGGGAAAATGATGTGGAGGGGGGGGAGGAGGCAAGGCTGAAGCCCTTTCTCTATGTATGCCACAGTCCTGATCTGAATCGGGCACCCCAACATGCAGGAACTGAAGAGAACTCACAGTCTGTGTACGGCTGTCGTGTCTGGCACACGATGGGTGGACCCCAGACCCAACCTGTATACTCCACAAGGTGTGAATTGACCAAACTGAGATCACCACTGTTGTGAAGGATGGCTTCATCAATCCAGAATGATATGAGGACCATGAGAGGTGGGGTTAGGGCAGCAGAGGCTGGATTAGGGGAAGAGGAATAGAAAAGCAGCAGAGGGAAAAGGGAGGCAGGAGACAGGCAGAAATATTGGACAGGTGGGCAAGTGGGGGTGGGAGGGAGAAAAGTGTGCGTGTCTGCGTGCGTGCATGTGCGTGTGCAGGAGGGAAGTGGAGACAGAGTTGATGGAGGGAGGGAAAGTGGAGCTAGAGTCAAGAGTGGTGGATAGGGATGCCATTTGCTTGCTTTTAGTGGGCAAGCCCCAGCCAACCCCCGCCCCCGCCATTCCCCACCTCTTCTCAAATGAGCAGCAGGAGAAAAGGCAAGGGGGGTGTTGTTGATGGATCAGTGTCATTTCTGGCTAAAACCCTGGGGTGACATCACCAGTTCTGATCTCTACAATTTTTTTTTTTACCACAGGGATCAGTGAAATCCTAGAATGTTGGTGAGACATCACTTCTGGGTTTTAGCTGGAAGAGATGCTGATACTTCAGTGAGGTCCTTTTCCCCATGCCCTGTCGCCCAAAGTCTCCCAGGGGGCTTCAGGCATGGGGAGGAAGCAGGACTGGTGTGTATGTGTGGGGAAAAAATGGGATTTCACCTCCCCTACAAATCGCTGTGGGTCCTCTCTTCTTCTTAAACCATTTCCACCACATTATAGACTGTCTTCATTCCACTTCTGAGCTCCATCTGTTGGTTCCCAAGTACACCACTCACGCTATTTGGTCCCAGTCCAGGAACACTCACTCTGCGGCTGTTTGGCCAAGTTCTTGGGCGACATATTGAATGTTTGGGTATCCCATGCAGCTGGAGATGTTGTTGCGAGGGTAATAGAAGAGGAAGGCCAGGCACATTTCATTCAGGGTACTTGGCCCGCCCTGAGGAAAAGGAAGCAAATATATATATATATGGCCAGGTCAGCTAAGGTGCATTTGCTGCCAACAGCCTTGTTGATATCTATGAAGTTAGGTAAAGTATTCTGATGCTGAGGGACGGAAGTGGCCGGTGGGAGGGGGCCAAGTGGCCAGCATGGCCTGCCTACCCCCACACCATGATTCTGCAGAAATGATTTTTTTGTACCACTAGGGAAAGCGATGTGTATCCCAGAGCCCTCGGTACAGCAAACAGCAGTTCCCTGGGACCATATCGCTTCAGAAAAACAGCATAAGAAGGAGGGCTGAAAACCCCTCTACCTGCATGGCATTGCTCCGATCCAAATTAGGCCCCTGAATGCCTTGGAACTGAGTTCCCAGTGATGAACTGGTAGTGCCCATCTGACAGAAAGTCCTTGTGGTGAATCAGGACATGACATGATACAAAGACTGTGTAGCACAGGGGTCCCCAGTGCTCTACCTATGGGCGCCATTGTACCCACTAGCATGTTTCATGGTGTAAAGTAAAGGTAAAGGTTCCCTTGCTCGAAAGCCAGTCGAGACCGACTCTAGGGTTGCGGTGCTCATCTCTGTTTCAAAGCTGAAGAGCCAGCGCTGTCCAAAGACGTTTCCGTGGTCATGTGGCCGGCATGACTAAACACCAAGGCGCACGGAACGCTGTTACCTTCCCACTGAAGTGGTACCTATTTATCTACTTGCAATGTCTTGCTTTCGAACTGCTAGGTTGGCAGGAGCTGGAACTAGAGACGGGAGCTCACTCCGTCATGCGGCAACTCGGGTCTTGAACTGCTGAACTACCGACCTTCCACAGCCTTCAGCGTCTTAACCACTTGAGCCACCGCAGTGGTTCATGGTGTACACTCACTTTATTTCCAAAGCAGCTCTTCCACAAAGCAGAGAACCATTCCTCCATTTCACTGGAGTACGAGGTGTTCTGGGAGAGCCTCGGAGCCTTACATTTGAATCTGCAGGGGGCGTCCATTTAGAAGCTTCTGCCTCCATGGTGGAACCTCCCAATGCTTCATAATTGGTTGCCCCCATGGCAGCCATTTTGGGCTGGTGACCACTGCCAGTTTTCTAAATCCCCAAAGTGCTCATAGGCTCAGCAAGGTTGGGGACCCCTCAGAGGTTCTTCCAGTTTATCTTGTAGTAAGCTGGTAGTGACTTCTCACCCAGCCCTGAACACACTTTCACCCACCCCTTGCCCTGCATGCTCGGCTTCTCATCCCCCCCGTTCCTGTTAATGGAATAAGGTGGTTGTGGACTGCAAGCCTCCTGCCAACCTAGCAGTTCAAAAGCAAGAAATTGCAAGTAGATACATAGGTACCACTTTGGTGGGAAGGTAACAACTTTCCATGCGTCTCAGCATTTAGTCATGCTGGCCACATGACCACGGAAATGTCTTTGGACAGCGCTGGCTCTTTGGCTTGGAAATGGAGATGAGCACCACCCCCTAGAGTCGGATTCAACTAGCTTTCGAGCAAGGGAAACCTTTACCTTTACTAAGGACTGCAAGCAGCTATTAAGATATTTGTAGATGATGAGAATCATGTTTGATTTTCTCGTTTGCCCCCCATCATTTTGTAATATTGCTTCGATTCTTTTAAGACTTACAAATGTCAGACTTGTCCGATCAAGTGTTTCATAGCGACATTCCACCAGGAACTCATCCCCCTGTCAAACAAAGCAGGTCGCAAGTGAGAACTCTGGGAACAGAAGAGCATCACAACAAAAGGACATTGCAAAACCATATACCGCTTTGAAAGTGACGAGTTCTTTCAAGCCTCTGGTCTCCTGAAGATTGAAATCGTACTTATTGTCTTCACAGAGGATTCGCAACTGCTTGCCATCCCTGGGGGTAGAGACACAGCAATTGGCAAGACAGACACACTTGTCATACTGAAGAGCCGTGCTACATATTACGAAGTCCTTGTGTTTTGCTGGTGGAAGAGACAAGGGTTTTGTATCAGGCATGCAATGGGAGTTTTGCAGCTTCCAAATGCACATCAGCCCTTTTCTGATCATGACGGCAGTACACAGGAAGAATTTGCTTCAGTCCCGCCTCCCATTTTTGTATCCGCGAACTACCTTGTGAAGCTGCTACGTGGTCTGTTGCAAAAATTATCCATAGCCATGACAGCAATGCCATTTTCCCTTATGGGGCCTATAGCACTTGGAAGGCACAACACTCCCATCACACACCTGATAACAAAATCCTTGTGCTGTCCACCAACAAAAAACTAAGGATTAGTAAAGGGTCGCAAGGCCCTAGCCTAATTGTGACACAAGACCATCCAGTGTCTGATCTAATGATGTCCTCAGGAGGCTAAGATCATCCTTGCTAAAATCAAACACTACGAGTTCAGTTCCCTGGTGTCCGTACACTGATCTCCCCTATCAGTATGTCTTCACACATTCTGGCACAAGTGATCTCTCTTCTTTTTTAAAAAAAACTGAGCATACTCTATGCTATGTTTCTGTTTAACACCACTTGGCTTGGGATTGCTTCTTCTTTCCCCCTCTCTGGACTAGGTTGATATTTTGGACAATAGTCTTTCTTTTTTCCTTATTTTGCAGCCTGTGCACATGGCTAGATGGGAGAATCTTGGTGGGACAAGTCCATGAAATTGTACCATGTCCTAAGAATAAAACTAGATTCCAGTGGTGCCTTAGGGATGAACAGAGTTTAGTCCAGTAGAAGTTTTCATGTGTGAGAGCTCACTCCATCAAACACATGGCATGCAAACTCATTAGATCGATGCTTTTATATTCACAACAGAAACCGGGACAGGAGTTCGTTGTGTGTATGAATGGACGGACATGTCATAGACCTGGCAAAAGGAGAGAGCTCTAACTCATGAGTCATGATGAACACTTATGCAGGAATAGGTCCCTAACATGCCAATGGGCTCCAGTTTCATTTTGCTGCTACAGATTTACACCACTACCCCTTTGGGATGTGACACAAGAAGGTGAACGAGCAGCTGAATTTGCAAAAAAAGAAACAAAAAGGTTTAAAATAGACATGGGGAGGACTGTGGCTCACTGGCAGAGCATCTGCTTGGCATGCAGAAGGTCCCAGGTTCAATCCCCGGCATCTCCAGTTAAAGGGATCAGGTAGGAGGTGATGGGACAGACCTCTGCTTGAGACCCTGGAGAGCCACTGCCAGTCTGAGCAGGCGATACTGGCTTTGATGGACCGAGGGTCTGACTCAGTATAAGGCAGCTTCAGGTGTTCATTTGTTCATGGGTAAGGTGTAGCTGAGCCTTTAGCTTAGACACCAGGAGTGACCCTGACCTGGAAAGAATGACTGCAGGGGAGACATGCTGCAGGTAGAGGAGGGTTCTGCTCACCTGGCACGCACAATCCTTTGCGTTTTTTGTTGTTTAAATATTTGTACCCCGCTTTCCCTTTGTGTCTCAAAGCGGCTTACAATTCCAAAACCAAGAACCTAGCTCCATTTACCCCCCCCACAAATGCCAGCAGCATAACCCCCATTTTATTATCATGAGACCTCCCTGTCCTTTTCTTTCAAATTGTGATCGATTGGGGCCACTCTGTAATAAAGTGATGGCTGCTCTCTCTACATCTATGTCGTCTTTCTTACCGGTAGTGGACGCCTCTCACTCCTCTTCCAGCCAAGTGAGTGTGGAGCAAGTAACCAAAGACGTGCATATCGGGCACCGGGATCCCATTCAGCTATGGTTCAAAAGAGAGAAGCTGGGCTTTACTAAGGGGAATCTGGAAGCTGATAGAGGGCAGTGATTGTCATTCATGCACATGACATATGCTGCTATAACGCACGTGCACACTTTCCTTGCGGGTGCATGCACAACCTTCATCTTAACCTTAACAACTCCACAAGACTTGTTAGGAAAGCCATCACCGTATTCCAGAATTATTTGCTTCCTCTTTAAAACATCAGTGACCATTTTGGTGGAAAGTTGCAGTGGGGCCTGTGTGGGGCATCTTTGGCAGGGGGAGGAGAAATAGCAGACCTTTATTGGGATCTGGGGGTTCAAGGGAAGCCTGGACTGCACACTATGTTTAGGTGGTTATCAGACCCCCCTTTTTGCCATCAAGTCACAGCTGACTTATGGCGACCTAAGGAGTCTTCCTCTGACTTCAGTGGCTCTTCCTTTGCAGAAAAAACCACTTGAGTTGGAGAAAAGCTTCTTCGTTTATAAACTCTCCTAAAAAGGAGATAACTTTATTGCTTTTTATATTAGAAAGGGGGGAGGGTATATAGCGGGGTAAAGAAAAGGTCGAGTGATGTTTCCATTAGTTTGTTAGTCTGTTAA